GTTTTAGGTAGGTGTGGCTGACTCTGAACTTTCATAAAGAATATCTCTTTGGATTTGAGACTTTAGTCTTTGCAACTTTACAGATCTTCTTTATGCACCAAGAGCTTGTAACACTCCAAAGAGAAAGGAAAAATTGAAATCGCATCATATGACCCCTTTAAATATCCAATTTCATCCGAATTATATATTCAATATTAAGTTACATTAATAATTTACAAAAGGAAAAAGGTCAGTAACTGATGGTACAGATATCATGCGCTCCCACCCAAAATGCGTTCATGACAAACGTAACCCTCACCAATAGAGATGGAACGCAAGTACAGACGCTCTGCGTCATCATACTGATTCATGTCGTAGTTGTAGAGCGAGGCCAAGTGTCCCACTGACAGAGCCACCTCATAGTCCTCCTGTCCCAACAGCTGCTCCTTGATCTGAATGGCCTTGATGTGCATCTCCTCTGCCTCCTGCATTACAAATCACACCATGGAAAGGTCAGTCATCCCAAGAGCGACCTCAAAAGCACTCTGTTGAGTTTAGCTTACACAACAGAAAACAAAAACACACAGCTTGCAAAATGATCCACTATTACTTATACTACGGGTTTAAATAAGGAATAAATTAATAAGCACCTTGAATTTGCGCATGGATTGGTAGAGGCGGCCCAGGTTCCCGTAGTGTTTTGCCGTCTGAACGTTGAACTCTCCGAAAGCCTTTTTGGCCAACTGCAGGGAGGAGAGGTGCAGATCATGGGCCTCCTGCAGGAGGCGTTCCTCGGTTTCTTTGTTATGGCAATCAATGGCGATCTCCTCCAGGATTAGGGCTTGAGATGGAAGATCAGAAATACAAATTAGCTTGACGTAATGTGATTTTTCAACAAATCAAAAAAAACAAACAAAACCTAAACAAACTGAATAATGAGTGAAAAGATAATACTACTTTGAACTGTGAAGGGCCATCTTAATGTTGTCATTCCAGTAATGCAGCTGTGAATGAGAAGAGTTATGAAAGCTTTTCAAAGTGCTAGTCTCACCTTTCACCCTCTTGGATGAGGCCAGCAGCAGATGGTCTTCAGGGAGAATGTGAGTTATGATGTCTATGGCACGTTCTGCGTGGAATCTAAAAGTAAAATTCAAAGTATGAAATGGGTACATGTTATTCGATAAACACTTCCATGAAAAAAAAAAAAAAACACAGAGGACAAAGCAGTTCTACAAGAACATCATAATTGTGTAAAAGTTTAGGGCAACTACTGGTCATCTGTGTCATGGACTTCATAACACTCAAGGGACAAATAAAATGGTATAAAAGTTCATATGGGATTAGTTGCAACCAAAATACTGTTTTGTCTTGGTATGAATAGAGCAATGTGGCAGCTTGCTTTTGAAGAAGTGACTCACAACACCAATTCAATTACTCATGGTGATCTAATAAGGATGTTTGTCTTCTTTCATAAAAACAGCAACGCTATTTTGCCTCTGACCTATTACGTATTGTTCAATGCTGCCTAACGAATTTTGTTTTTGCAGCAAAGAGCCCCACAAAAGATTACAGATTTTTGTAAAAAAAAAAAATCAATATTATTTTGGTTACTTTTTTGTATTTTGGCTTATATTTTATAGCGTAATATTGTTTATTAAAATGTAAATGTCATTACTTTAAAAAATACACTTCAATTACTTATGGTCACATGAACCACCAGTTAATAATGATACTGTTGATATCTGTCTGACACACAAAACAGTTCTAGCTTCATTTCAAAACGGACAGAAATGAAGGAATTGTGGTCAAATAAATGATTAAGAAGCAAAATGCACTCCGATCGATTCTGTTCATTCAGTGAAAGATTCATTTTGAATGATTCAAACGGATAACAACAGTTTTTTTGATGATTCTTTAAAAGAACCAGCTCATGAGAGTCATCTGTCCATCAATCATCATCTGCAATTGATATGCTCTATGATTTAGAGTGTAAGAATAGTGGTGCACGAAACACTTGCACTGTCCATTTACCCACCTGACACAGATGCAATTATGGTTCAAAATGATATAAAATAATTCTTTCTCTGTAACTAATGTGCCCAGGACGGAATTGAGATACTCACAGTGCATTGTCGAATTTACCAGAGCTGTACTGATGGACGTAGGACGAATACGCCAGGTCCTCATGTGCAGTTGCAACATGAATATTCTTTCCTCCAAACACTGACTGCCGAATATCTAGTGCAGTCTGAAGGTAAAACACATCAATAACAAGTAAATCACAAATAATCTTTCAAAGAATGAGAAAATCCTTTATTTATACTTTTTGAAATTCTTGGCTCACCTGGTAAATGGCCACTGATTGACAGATATTATCCACATTTAATAGGTAAAATCCATAATCTAGTAGTGTATCTGAGTATTTTGGGTGCTTGTGCCCAAAATGTTCCCTGAAAACAAAATGTGGAAATACATAGGCATTTCACCGCTGCCAAACAGAACAACATTTCAACACCACACATGCTTAAAAAAGAAATATGCTTGATAGTGCTTACCGTGCCAAGAAGACCGCATGTTTTATCAGTTGTTCAGCTTTCCTAAACTCCCGCTTAACAACACATGCCTGCAGGGATCAATATTCATTATTTAATGGAAAAGAAGTTCACATGTATTTATAAAAACTCAAATATCTAACAATCACTGACCTTAGAGGCTTGTCTGAGAACATCAACTACTACTTTCACAGGTAAGCCAACGGTGATCTCCCTCATAGCCTCTATACACCACCTATAAGCCTGCAACACATTAGAAACACATTAAGCTGTAGAGCAGCCATTCTCCAAACTGACTTCTGGGATACTTGCAAAGGGACTTACCTCATCATAGTGGCTTTTGGCAAAGAGTAGGGCACACAGTTCTCCATACAGGGCAGCCTTATTAGCCTGATGGCCATGTTTGGCTAGTTTGTCCATGTAAGACTGGGCCAGTTTGAAAGTTTCTTCTCCCAGGTGGTATTTGCAGTTGCCATTACGCACATGAAGTAACCTGGCATACAAATTCCACAATAACACATTAATAAGATACTAATACAATTTACTCACCGTTAATATGACCATTTAGAGCTAGAAGAGACTCAAGCGGACCATTCACTCACCTCACACAACACTCCACTGCACGATACCAGTGAAGAACTTCATCGTGTAATGTGCACAGCTGGAGGCAAGACAGGAAGACTTTCTCTGCATCTCCATACCAGCCGGCATCTGATAAAAAGCCACCTGATATCCAAGCAAAGTATTATTGCAATAGCTTGTTAATACAAGCTGAAAAAGCAGAAAAGTGAGCCACATCAGTCATACCTAAAACAAAGCCAAACTGTATAGCTTTCTCTTTCACATGCGCATCTGACTCTGCGATGTATGAACATCGGCGGCTGAAAGAGTTGGCCAGAACTGAAGCGACCTTTACACCGTGGTCCATCAGAGCCTGGAAGCAGTGGTGTAGGAGGTGCCTGTGAAAGAAAATATGTACTTAGTCTTTCATAGAAGTATCAATACAGCCTTATGAAAAATAGTTTGCATGCATATATATAAAGTTGCTTTTTTAGGGTGACAGTATAGAGATGTTTCTTTAACTTCAAGCAATGTCAAATACTATTTAAAATATATATTATATTACTACTGGTGAACCAATATACTGTAGTTTTTAAATCAAAGCTAATATCTAGAAAGCAGGATGGCTGATATAATGCAAATATATGCTACACACTTTGCATATAATACACTACTGTTAAAACGTTTGTTTTTTAAAGTAATTCATTTTTATTCAACAAGGATGCATTAAATTGATTATAATTGACAGTCAAGTCTTGATACATCGTTTTAAATCTATTTTGAATACATGCTATTCTTTTTAACTATCTATTCATTAAAGAATCCTGACAAAAATGTAGCAGTTTCCACAAAATTATTAGGCAGCACAACTGTTTTCAACTTTGATCATAAGAAATGTTTCTTAAACAGCAAATCAGCATATTAGAATGATTTCTGAAGGATCATGTGACATTGAAAACTGCTGAAAATTCAGTTTCGCCATCACATGAATAAATTACATTAATAGAAAACGGTTATTTTGAAGTTGTAATATTTTACAATATTATGTTTTACTGTATCTTTGATGCAATAAATGCAGACTTGGTGAGCATTAGAAACTTCTTTCAAAAAAAATCTTACCAAGCCCAAGATACAGTATATCAATATTTAAAGTGCCCCTATTATGCCATTTTTAATGTTGCTTTAATGTTGCTAATATTGTTTTATGAGTCTCCTAAAACAGGTTTACATGCATGCAAGGTCAAAAAACACATTAGTTTTCTAAAAAAAGAGATTTAATTTTACCTAATTTCTAAATGATTCATGAACGACTCGTGCGAAGCAGTTCAAAGAATCAGTCTCTCTAAACCCCTCCTTTCCGTGAGCCCTCACTGCTGTTATTGGTCAGATGGCGCAGTCCTTTGTGATTGGTCCAGAGCCGTAGAGAGATTGGCTCTGGATTGGTCTACCGCGTACAGCGCGTGTCGGAAACGAATCGCCCATTGCCATGACGAAATGACAGCCCTGGAGACTTGTCAATACATAGAAAAGATGGTTTCGATTGTACCTTACCAATTGGAGCCGGAGTCTGATGATGAAATGGTTGAACTGGCTGATCGACAAGAGACTGATTCGCAAGCACGACTGGAGCAGGACGTTTCTCAGTGGTACTGTAAGTGTCAAGTGTTAACAAGCTTGTGGTAATTATAAGATGTGATAAAACAAATTTACTCTCACAGCGTAGGATACAGTGTCTTCTCGACATGATGTTAACCACACAGAAATGTTACTGTTTGTGGGCGGGCAAGTTGGCGACGTAGAACGTGGGCGGACATTATGCAAATGTGTTACTTCAATTTGCGCATGGATTGGTAGAGGCGGCCCAGGTTCCCATAGTGTTTTGCCGTCTGAACGTTGAACTCTCCGAAAGCTTTTTTGGCCAACTGCAGGGAGGAGAGGTGCAGATCATGGGCCTCCTGCAGGAGGCGTTCCTCGGTTTCTTTGTTATGGCAATCAATGGCGATCTCCTCCAGGATTAGGGCTTGAGATGGAAGATCAGAAATACAAATTAGCTTGACGTAATGTGATTTTTCAACAAATCAAAAAAAACAAACAAAACCTAAACAAACTGAATAATGAGTGAAAAGATAATACTACTTTGAACTGTGAAGGGCCATCTTAATGTTGTCATTCCAGTAATGCAGCTGTGAATGAGAAGAGTTATGAAAGCTTTTCAAAGTGCTAGTCTCACCTTTCACCCTCTTGGATGAGGCCAGCAGCAGATGGTCTTCAGGGAGAATGTGAGTTATGATGTCTATGGCACGTTCTGCGTGGAATCTAAAAGTAAAATTCAAAGTATGAAATGGGTACATGTTATTCGATAAACACTTCCATGAAAAAAAAAAAAAAAAACACAGAGGACAAAGCAGTTCTACAAGAACATCATAATTGTGTAAAAGTTTAGGGCAACTACTGGTCATCTGTGTCATGGACTTCATAACACTCAAGGGACAAATAAAATGGTATGAAAGTTCATATGGGATTAGTTGCAACCAAAATACTGTTTTGTCTTGGTATGAATAGAGCAATGTGGCAGCTTGCTTTTGAAGAAGTGACTCACAACACCAATTCAATTACTCATGGTGATCTAATAAGGATGTTTGTCTTCTTTCATAAAAACAGCAACGCTATTTTGCCTCTGACCTATTACGTATTGTTCAATGCTGCCTAACGAATTTTGTTTTTGCAGCAAAGAGCCCCACAAAAGATTACAGATTTTTGTAAAAAAAAAAAATCAATATTATTTTGGTTACTTTTTTGTATTTTGGCTTATATTTTATAGCGTAATATTGTTTATTAAAATGTAAATGTCATTACTTTAAAAAATACACTTCAATTACTTATGGTCACATGAACCACCAGTTAATAATGATACTGTTGATATCTGTCTGACACACAAAACAGTTCTAGCTTCATTTCAAAACGGACAGAAATGAAGGAATTGTGGTCAAATAAATGATTAAGAAGCAAAATGCACTCCGATCGATTCTGTTCATTCAGTGAAAGATTCATTTTGAATGATTCAAACGGATAACAACAGTTTTTTGGATGATTCTTTAAAAGAACCAGCTCATGAGAGTCATCTGTCCATCAATCATCATCTGCAATTGATATGCTCTATGATTTAGAGTGTAAGAATAGTGGTGCACGAAACACTTGCACTGTCCATTTACCCACCTGACACAGATGCAATTATGGTTCAAAATGATATAAAATAATTCTTTCTCTGTAACTAATGTGCCCAGGACGGAATTGAGATACTCACAGTGCATTGTCGAATTTACCAGAGCTGTACTGATGGACGTAGGACGAATACGCCAGGTCCTCATGTGCAGTTGCAACATGAATATTCTTTCCTCCAAACACTGACTGTCGAATATCTAGTGCAGTCTGAAGGTAAAACACATCAACAACAAGTAAATCACCTAGTCTTTGAAAGAATGAGAAAATGTTTTATTTATACTTGCAAAGAACCGAAAGTTTAACTAATTCTTGGCTAACCTGGTAAATGGCCACTGATTGACAGATATTATCCACATTTAATAGGTAAAATCCATAATCTAGTAGTGTATCTGAGTATTTTGGGTGCTTGTGCCCAAAATGTTCCCTGAAAACAAAATGTGGAAATACATAGGCATTTCACCGCTGCCAAACAGAACAACATTTCAACACCACACATGCTTAAAAAAGAAATATGCTTGATAGTGCTTACCGTGCCAAGAAGACCGCATGTTTTATCAGTTGTTCAGCTTTCCTAAACTCCCGCTTAACAACACATGCCTGCAGGGATCAATATTCATTATTTAATGGAAAAGAAGTTCACATGTATTTATAAAAACTCAAATATCTAACAATCACTGACCTTAGAGGCTTGTCTGAGAACATCAACTACTACTTTCACAGGTAAGCCAACGGTGATCTCCCTCATAGCCTCTATACACCACCTATAAGCCTGAAACACATCAAGCTGTAGAGCAGCCATTCTTCAAACAGACTTCTGGGATATTTGCAATGGGACTTACCTCATCATAGTGGCTTTTGGCAAAGAGTAGGGCACACAGTTCTCCATACAGGGCAGCCTTATTAGCCTGATGGCCGTGTTTGGCTAGTTTGTCCATGTAAGACTGGGCCAGTTTGAAAGTTTCTTCTCCCAGGTGGTATTTGCAGTTGCCATTACGCACATGAAGTAACCTGGCATACAAATTCCACAATAACACATTAATAAGATACTAATACAATTTACTCACCGTTAATATGACCATTTAGAGCTAGAAGAGACTCAAGCGGACCATTCACTCACCTCACACAACACTCCACTGCACGATACCAGTGAAGAACTTCATCGTGTAATGTGCACAGCTGGAGGCAAGACAGGAAGACTTTCTCTGCATCTCCATACCAGCCGGCATCTGATAAAAAGCCACCTGATATCCAAGCAAAGTATTATTGCAATAGCTTGTTAATACAAGCTGAAAAAGCAGAAAAGTGAGCCACATCAGTCATACCTAAAACAAAGCCAAACTGTATAGCTTTCTCTTTCACATGCGCATCTGACTCTGCGATGTATGAACATCGGCGGCTGAAAGAGTTGGCCAGAACTGAAGCGACCTTTACACCGTGGTCCATCAGAGCCTGGAAGCAGTGGTGTAGGAGGTGCCTGTGAAAGAAAATATGTACTTAGTCTTTCATAGAAGTATCAATACAGCCTTATGAAAAATAGTTTGCATGCATATATATAAAGTTGCTTTTTTAGGGTGACAGTATAGAGATGTTTCTTTAACTTCAAGCAATGTCAAATACTATTTAAAATATATATTATATTACTACTGGTGAACCAATATACTGTAGTTTTTAAATCAAAGCTAATATCTAGAAAGCAGGATGGCTGATATAATGCAAATATATGCTACACACTTTGCATATAATACACTACTGTTAAAACGTTTGTTTTTTAAAGTAATTCATTTTTATTCAACAAGGATGCATTAAATTGATTATAATTGACAGTCAAGTCTTGATACATCGTTTTAAATCTATTTTGAATACATGCTATTCTTTTTAACTATCTATTCATTAAAGAATCCTGACAAAAATGTAGCAGTTTCCACAAAATTATTAGGCAGCACAACTGTTTTCAACTTTGATCATAAGAAATGTTTCTTAAACAGCAAATCAGCATATTAGAATGATTTCTGAAGGATCATGTGACATTGAAAACTGCTGAAAATTCAGTTTCGCCATCACATGAATAAATTACATTAATAGAAAACGGTTATTTTGAAGTTGTAATATTTTACAATATTATGTTTTACTGTATCTTTGATGCAATAAATGCAGACTTGGTGAGCATTAGAAACTTCTTTCAAAAAAAATCTTACCAAGCCCAAGATACAGTATATCAATATTTAAAGTGCCCCTATTATGCCATTTTTAATGTTGCTTTAATGTTGCTAATATTGTTTTATGAGTCTCCTAAAACAGGTTTACATGCATGCAAGGTCAAAAAACACATTAGTTTTCTAAAAAAAGAGATTTAATTTTACCTAATTTCTAAATGATTCATGAACGACTCGTGCGAAGCAGTTCAAAGAATCAGTCTCTCTAAACCCCTCCTTTCCGTGAGCCCTCACTGCTGTTATTGGTCAGATGGCGCAGTCCTTTGTGATTGGTCCAGAGCCGTAGAGAGATTGGCTCTGGATTGGTCTACCGCGTACAGCGTGCTAATATTGTTTTACGAGTCTCCTAAAACAGGTTTACATGCATGCAAGGTCAAAAAACACATTAGTTTTCTAAAAAAAGAGATTTAATTTTACCTAATTTCTAAATGATTCATGAACGACTCGTGCGAAGCAGTTCAAAGAATCAGTCTCTCTAAACCCCTCCTTTCCGTGAGCCCTCACTGCTGTTATTGGTCAGATGGCGCAGTCCTTTGTGATTGGTCCAGAGCCGTAGAGAGATTGGCTCTGGATTGGTCTACCGCGTACAGCGCGTGTCGGAAACGAATCGCCCATTGCCATGACGAAATGACAGCCCTGGAGACTTGTCAATACATAGAAAAGATGGTTTCGATTGTACCTTACCAATTGGAGCCGGAGACTGATGATGAAACGGTTGAACTGGCTGATCGACAAGAGACTGATTCGCAAGCACGACTGGAGCAGGACGTTTCTCAGTGGTACTGTAAGTGTCAAGTGTTAACAAGCTTGTGGTAATTATAAGATGAGATAAAACAAATTTACTCTCACAGCGTAGGATACAGTGTCTTCTCGACATGATGTTAACCACACAGAAATTTTACTGTTTGTGGGCGGGCAAGTTGGCGACGTAGAACGTCGTTACTTCGTAATGTAGAGTCGTAACAGATTAAGATTCGAATTCCTGACGACTCGTTTAGGCGATTGTGAGCCGACTCTTTTTTTTGATAGACAATAACTTTATTTATCGTGCACTGTCGGCTTCACAACTTTGCAGATAGTTTATGTTCACATACAGCTACATGACACACGGCATGAAAGGTAATATTCAAAAAGGCATAATAGGGGCACTTTAACATTTAAAAAAATGAGTACAAACATGATCAAATTAGTTTCTATCACCACATAAATTACTCTACAACCAAGTCTTGTGAAGACGCCAATAAAGCCCTGCACCATACATCATGTGAGATTTTAATCATCTGCCCAAAATACACACACACTCAATCTCATTCAGCGTGGCCATAAACACATCATTAAGATATGGATTTGAGCTATATTACCTTGATAGACAGAGTAAGAGTGGACTCAGATACCTTTTGTCAGAGGCCCTGAGGACTTTAGCGAAGACCTCCAGCTCACAGAACTCCCCTCCCAGCTGACAGAGGCGGCCTTGCTGGTAAAGCTGGAACACATGAAGAAATGTGAGACTGCTGCTGACCCTATTGTACATGTGACACAAAGACAACTCAAGCTTTCCCTTGGGGGTGCCAAGAGCCAGAAAACCAGGAAAAGTAGCCATTATGAAAACAGAATGTACAATCAGGAAGAGTCTGTGCAAGACCAATAATACGTGTGCCAAAAACATTTTGTTTGTGATCTGGCACATCTGGTATCCGACACCAAATAGCCTGACTGTACAAAGCTGTGAAAAACCTAATGCAAAGATTAAATGGTTAAATTATCTTCACAATAGTGTAATTTAACCCTTACTGTTATATTTGAGGCTAAAATCTATGATCATCCGAAGTTAGCCTTTTTGACTCCAAGGCCCCAAACTGTCCACAACCATATTCAAAAGCCCCATAACTTTACCAGTATTTCTTGATTTACTGAAAAAGGATTAAGAATAAGATTTTTTTTTTTTATATTTGTGTACTTACAATTTCTATCCGAGAAAATATTTTAGAACTTGGCATAACTAGAAAAAGTATAATATAAAGTATAAAAATGGAGTAATACGTTTTATTAATGTACATTATTTTTCCACATCTAGAAATAATATTTCAGTTAAAACCAGTTAAACTCTGCGGACCCGGATACGAACAAAGTAAATTGCAGAGAGTTGTGCCTAATAGAACCTGAATTACAGATTTTCAAAAAAATACTTAGTTTTAAATCTCCAAAAGCGCCTATGTTTTTTTTGTGTTTATAGTAATATTTGAAAAGTATATAATGTTATTTATAAAGAATTACACTCATATTTTGTAGTTCAAAGGGTTTTCTTTACAATGAAACCATTTTTTTTAATTTCCTCCATTGTATGTGTGCAGGGTAAACATTTGAATTTGAGTATGTTAAATTTAGGCGAAAATACCAAAAAACGCCCTGAGCTTAAGTTAAACTTAATTTGTTAAGTCATTTCAACTACACTGACAATAAATGCAGCCCTCTCTTTGGCAATACAGAACATGTAAAAAAATTTAATCGTTCCTCAATCATTAGTCATTTGTGGACAACAAACTGTGATAGCCTTTGTATAAAAAAAACAGAAAAAGTGGGATTGGTCTAATCAAACCTCAATATCCAAAAAGGCAAATCAAATAAAAAGAGTTAAACAGGTTGCACTAAGTGGCTTCAAAACACATGAAAAAATGATTATTTGAGATAAAATAAGTAATTTGGGGGTTTCATACATAAATATATGCAGTAGCACTTAACAATAAGGTCCCATTAGTAAAACCAGTAGCTAACATTAACTAACAATAATATTTATTATTCTTTGGTAATTTTAATTAATAAAAAATAATCAACTGTTAATTTTTAGTTAATGTTAGCTCACGGTGCATTAAATAATAATAAGAGATCCAGCTAGATTTTAAATAATATATTAATAGGCTATATGTTGAAATGATCATTAAATACAATTAATATGTTTCAGAAGTATTTTTAATTTTTAGTTAATGTTAACAAAAGAGACCTTATTAAGTGTTACCATGCCTCTATTATTCGGTCTAATAAGTGTCTATTATACTGTACAGTGTTTATTAATACTTTCCACAGTGGTTGGTGACAAACCATTCAAACCACATATTCAGATGCCAGTTGTCTTATCTCGCGAAGTCGTTAGAAACACGGTTATGGTTTAAATACTCACATAACATTATAATAAACATATTACACTGGGCTCGTACCCATAAATAAGGTAAACAGGGTAAAAAGTGAGATGTCACCGTGTTATATAGTTAACTAGTCTTGACCCAGAGAGCTGTAGCTCATACAGCAGTAAGTTAGATAAGGTACATGCGAAGATAACTGGAACATAGTGTCCACTTCAACCAGCCTTCACCCAAACTGCCACACAGAAACGAGTGGACTCTCAAAACAGAAAACCTGAACGGTTAAATCGTCTGGTAGCTCGAGTCTCTCCTAACCAGCGCTCCACTGAGAGGTCGCATCAGTTTTTGTTAGCCGAGCTGCTAGTAAAAAGTGTCAGATGCCTTTGACGTTTGTTCCGCACGGAACCCATTCGCTTTCCTTCTTACCTTGTAGTACACATCAAACTGTATATTTTCAGGCAGAGAGCGGATGTCCCGTCGCGATCGGCCGTAGTTGTCGACCACGGCTGAGATAGCGGTGTTGTACAGGGTCTCAGGGATCCATTCCAGCTCCACCGCGGCCATGTTGTTTTCTTTCACTAAATCCAACCACAGCCCCCCTCTTCCACTCCTACTTTCACCTCCTTCGCTACCTGATCGAGGCAAAACTCTTTACTCTGATGCTCCTCATACACCCCTGCAGCTGGAAGCGCTTTTAGAGATCGAAACGGACTGTTATGATAGAGAACACAACCCTAAGGTTATGCTCTCATGTTTAAAGCTCATCACAGATCGAGATGCCCCGCCCACTCTATGACACTTTGGGCGATGACGTAGAGCTAGAGCTCAGCTCGCACTCAGTGAATTTCAGCGCATTTGAGCTAAAGAGTTGAAGTTACTTGAAAATTGAACGGGTATATGCCGTCTTTTTTTTCTTTAAGTATTATTATTGATTTTTATTTATTGATCTTTTCTTTTTTTTTCTATGTAATGTAAACCCATTCCTTTAATTGTGTTATCTTTTTGGATGTCTTGTTAAAGTTGTAAATGTTGCATGTTATGTCTTTAATGTCTAATAAAAATTTTAAAAAAAGCAACAAGCTTTTCTTAGAGTAATATTACAGAAGACTATAGGGATGAAAAGTAAAGCAATAAGGATGTAAGAAAAATTATATAAAAAATTATAATTAAATTATACATTTCATCATATTATTTTTAAAATAATTTTTATATAATTTTTAACTTGAAATTATATTAAACAACATTCCAAACAAACATTTTTGTTTGAAACATTTATATTATTATACATTATTATACACTCTATAATAATAAAAAAAAAAAAAAAAAAAAAAAAAAAAAGTGAACGCGCATTTGACTGTCTGTAGTTCAGTGTTTACCACGGAATAGGGCTACTTTAACACTATTGCCGCGGGTTGATGCGACCTCAATAACGTGATATTTATCCGCTGGAATGCGAATTTTACCAGGATAACCGGGTGACCCCCTCGAAAGGGATTGGGCTAGTTTTGAGTAGCAATTGTGTGAGTTTTGTTGTGAAAACCTGGCAACCCCGTTATAGTTCAAAATAACGGCCGTTGCAGTGTTGCCAAGTCCTCGGTTTCCACGCGGGTTAAGCGACCCCAATAACGTCATATTTACCCCCTGCAATGCGAATTTTACCGGGGTAAGTTTTGAGTAGCAATTGGGTGAAAACTGGCAACCCTGGGCCGCTGGGAGGACGACGGAAATCTCTCTTAATCAAATTTTGTGCCACAATTTAGCATCGATAGTTATGTGGCAGTTAGTCTACGTCTACTGGCCATCTTTATATAGGCCTACATATAAAATATATTTATTTTATGGGAAAATGGATTAAAATGATTGATAAATCCTGCACTACATTGGTCAAAACATAAAAAAGGTCAAATTAAAATGCATAAATCATTTTAAAACATTCAGCAATCAAAATGACACACGAGTGGATGACACATTATAGTGATGGGAGAAACGAAGCTTTTCGAAGCATTGAATCAATTGAACCACTTGCTTCGAAAAATGATTCGATGTTTCGAAGCACTTGAAACAGCACATGCTGGCGACACCTGCTGGTAAAAACGTTGTAAAAGCATCAAGAACTCAGACCAAACTTACAAAACAACTGGAAATGTTTTTTTTAGAAATACCATTTAAAAAAAATAAATAAATAAACACTTAAATAAAACACATACTGATAAAAAATGTATAGCCTGAATGCACTGTAAGTCGCTTTGGATAAAAGCGTCTGCTAAATGCATACATTTAATTTAATTTAAATACTATTAAATATTAGTGCTTGTGTTATGTGTTATATTTAAGTATAATCAAACCCTTAACACACAATGAACTAAATGAATTATTTAATGAATTCATTGATTTGTGTATTTTTTTTTAATTAAGTGTTTTCATTAGAGCTGTCTATAATTGCTTCGAAAAATGATTCGATGTTTCGAAGCACTTGAAACAGCACATGCTGGCGACACCTGCTGGTGAAAACGTTGTAAAAGCATCAAGAACTCAGACCAAACTTACAAAACAAATGGAAATATTTTTTTAGAAATACCATTTTTTTAAATAAATAATAAACACTTAAATACTATTAAATATTAGTGCTTGTGTTATGTGTTTTATTTAAGTATAATCAAAGCCTTAACACACAATGAACTAAATTAATTATTTAATGAATTAAGTGATTTATGTAATTTTTTTAATTAAGTGTTTTCATTAGAGCTGTCTATAAAAACCAGCAGGCAAGAGTGGTGTTATCAGTCAGGAGAAGGAGGTGGATTTAATTATATCGTAAGCTAATTTTGTTATTTTTAAGGTATGATGTGATGAATTTGATTTTACTATATAGCCATCTGTGTTAAAGGGAAATTATCTTTTGTTTAACCCTCAACATCTGGCCCTGAATTCTTTATTTTTTATAGTACAATTTCGTGGGTTTTCATGTCACATGATTAACTGGGCAACCAGAAGTGGTTCATGGGTTCACTTTGAGATCAACACCCCCTAGTGGTGAACCATCGGAGTTTCGAAACGTTTCGAAACAGTGTGAGGTAACGATGCTTCGTTTGCTAAAATCACGTGACCTGGTCGGTTTGATACGTGTGACGTCACGGACACTACGTCCATGTTTTTATACAGTCTATGGTTTGATACGCGCTCCGAAACACTGATTCGAAACAAAAGATTCACAAATGTTTCGAAACTTCGTGAAGCAGTGAACCATCACTACTTATTTAAAATAATAAAATATTGTACTCGTTTACCTGCTCGTCATGTGACCAATAACCGATATCAGAAAACAGTGAACATTGATTGAATGTGTAGTCAAATCCTTGAAATATCTCCTTAAAATTTCAGGGGATCTTAGGCTACTTCAAATTAGGTAAAAATATTAAAATAGTTTTCTAATAAATTGTAGGCTCTCTTGTTTAATATGTTTTCGCGGTTGTTTTAAGTAGCCTATGCGTCATTCTGCAGTTTAGAGAACATATTAACTCAATAGACAATGGCAAAATATTATTATTTTGCATTGATAAAAATATATTTCAGAATACAACAGAGATGCAAAGAGATGTTCCTTCCCTTGTGAGAGACTTGAAGTTTGCTCGTGGGCATCACCTTGGCTAGTAAAATACATTTTGCAGCAGCATAAGAAAATTCTTTAAAATCTCAGTTCTTGTTGTATGTAACACCTTTGTAGGTGAGAAATTAGCATTTTAGCCTAGTGAAATTAAATGAATGGATGCCATTAGTCTGAATGTTATTTCTCTGACTAGATCTCAACCGGTCTCCCTCATATAATGTGGGTTGAGTATTCTTTTGTGCCGCTGATAGTATCATGCATCCGATCGTAGGCCTATATCTCATTAGTATAATTGTAACCATTATTTCTCATTATTTTGAATGAAGTACTTGAAAATAATTTTACAATATGGCAAGTTAAAATGGTTAATCAGTTAAGCAAAAATCACAAATTATCCCATCCACCTGAATAATTGTGTTAGACCATAGTGCACTATGAATAAAATATACAAAAGTACATATAATAATATAATAAGCTCAAAAGCAATTACAAGTACAAAACAAAATATAATTTGGCTGATTTGTGAGCATTTTAAACATCGATGATCACTTAAAATTGCAAACTTATTTTTCAAATGTGTCACTATAATTGTCAGGTAATTTTATAAAGAAGAAAAGGTCCTCACAAGTGTAGTCAAACTTGTGTACCAACACATGTACAGTGCTATATATGATGGAATTTAGAAACTAAACAAAAACAGCTGGCAAAAGGTCAAGGCATTAGATAGTGATCTAATTAAGAAGACCATGACCCCAAGATCAAGACTGGTACCTGTGTTATTTTAGTATTATTTATATAATATTTACATTTTTATTAACACGAATTAGCATTTTATTAAAATGAGAAAAAAAACATTACTTTTTTATTTTCAGTTTTTATTGAAATTTTATTTTAATTATTGTGTCATTTTGTTATGTGCTTTTGCCATTTTTATTAGTTTTATAGCCATTTTAGTTATTTTTATTTAGTTATTTATTTATTTGTCAGTTAGTAATTCCAGTGCTTCAAATGAAATATATTTTATTGATATTGTAAATAAGCTTTTATTTTATTTTATTTTAATTATTGTGTAATTGTATTTTGTGCTTTTTGTCTTTTTATTATGTGTTTTTGTTTTTTTAAATATTGAATTATCTAATATATTTATTTATTTATTAATAGTTATTAATATATTTATGAATCTATTTTTATTTCAGTCGCAGTTTTAGTTTAGTTTTTGCTTTTTTTTAATTTATTTATTACCAGTTTATTACCATAAATGCTTCAGATTAAACGTAATTTAATTTGTTTGCAAGGCAACAGTTCTACTTTTCATTTAGTTTAAGTTTTTCGTCTAATATTTATATTTAATTTCAGATTTATTTCAATTAACAATAGTAGCTTTAGTTAATGATAATAACCGATGACCCATACCTATCTAATCAAGACCCTTTTATACATCCCTAGATCTATTCTGAGATGATTTTACAGCTGATGACCACCAAAAGCAAAACGAGACAATGGGTTATTATTCTATTATTATATCAATCAATTCCTATGGCATTGACTTCTGCAGCTGTAGTTCCTAACGCAGGCAGCAGGTGTCGCCGTTTCTTCGCGCTAAACAATAAGCAGCATGAGGCCAACCTACCGCCTTTATCACTATATATTTACAACAGTGCTCGCCTGCTCACGTTCAGCTGCGCCCATCTAGAGGATAGAGCGAACAGAAAAAATACCGTTCCCTGCCCAAAACTGGATTCTCACAACGGTGAGTGCAGCCGACTTTTATGTATTTATATATTTTTTTTAAATTCCGTAAACTAGATAATATCCAGTTATTTCCAGGAGGTAAAACCTCATGTCAGGGATGTGAGCCTGGGATCAACAGCAGTCCGCTGCTGGATATAGAGGCGAAGAAAGGACCCTTATCAGCCACTTACTCATGCTAACTGACCTGCTAAATGTAGCCGGAGGATTGTTATATTCACTGTTCATTAGCAACTTTGCGGGTTTAAAGGTTCTATAGTTTCTCGCTAAAATCTGTATACTTTGGTGGTCTGCGTTTAACAGTTCCAGTCCGTGTCCAGCTAATTTAAAGGCTTAGCGGCTGATCTTGAGCGTTAGCGTTTGGCTTTCCTGCCGCAGATGATTGACGAGTCTCTCGCTGCTCCGGTTGACTGACCGGGCAAATTTATAAACGAAGGTTTCTTGTCCTAACGTGCTTCTCTTCAAAGTGACTCTCGCCTGGCTTTTATCTGTCTGGCATTTAATGCGTCAATGATACATTGTAAGCAAACCGCAGGCTTCTTCTACATTGTAACAGAATTCTTCATTATATTGTAACATTGTCGCCGTCACTTTCCTTTCATGTCAACGGTCAAGTGCAAGTCCATGTGTTTATAAACAACAGTATTGAAATGAATCATTAAATTAATTCTTACAGAAATTGACAATGGTAACAGTCAACAAAATTACATAGTTAATACAACGATTGATTACTGTACTTCTGTTAAAATAAGCTTTCAGCAACCTTTCTGTCATTGTCATGACTGTATAGTTTAATATAATGTTACCACAATTATTGTTGTACCAGCTAAAACTATAGTAGAGAAATTTACATACAGTCTAATGATGTCTGCTCACAGTCTAACACAGTCTACTATCCTCCAAAAGCATCGGGTCAATAAGTGTTTTTTTTTAATGAGTAATTTTACTCAGCAAGGATGCATTAAATTGTTTAAAAGTGATAGCAAAGACATTTATTTTAAAGAAGTGTTGTATTTTAAATAAATGCTGTTGAATTTTGGAAACTGGTTACCATAGTACTTTTTTTTTATAGGAGACTATCTTTTTTACACGTTAGGGGACAAAAATTAAGCTAATAATCTGTGCTATAAAGAGACTGATGCTGATGAAAATGAAAATGAGAATAACTAATGCACTGAACATTAGTAGCATTATTATCATAATTAATGTTGATGCCTTAATTGTTTATACAAACTAGGGTTCACTAGTATTTTTTGTATTTGTATTTTAATGTTGAACTCAAATTATGAATAGTACTAGAACTAGTAGAGTAGGTAGTAATAGGTAGTATCACATTGCATTAAGCGTGCATTGCATAAAGCCTTTTATGGGGAAGAATTGCCTTCCTGTATTATGGGGAAGAATTTGGCCCCTTGTTAATGGAACTTGTTTGGATGATGAAGTCTCCCGCTGGTGGGAAAATAGGAATGCTAGAGGCCCGTGGCTTACATAGCACCTCCCTAATGCCTCAAACCCTGTTTGTTTCACATCCTTATAGTGAAATAATGATACAATATCTTCATTACTCTAAAACCAGTCAATTTTGCTGTTCTGGGGTGTGTTTCCCAAAAGCATTGTTAGCTAACTATGGTTGCAAGTTCCATTGAACTCTATTGGTAATGACGGAACTTGCGACCATAAGTTGCTTTTGGAAAACGCACCCCTGGTAAATATTGTCATGCTACATTATGATACAGAAGTTTGTTTCTTGTGTGAAGGCCAGTCAGTGATTTTTACATAATTTGTCTTTACTTTGTCATAAAATGATTGCATATTGTAAGGCATTTGCCACTCAGTAGGAAATTATGACTTGACTGGTGTCATAAAGAGTCTAATTGTGCAGAGAAACATGAAAAATGATACAATTATTGATGTTATGTTATTTTTCTCTTTCCAGGGAGCCATAATTAATCCATTCTGGATGTACAGAAGCCACTCTGTCTCTGTATGGAAAAATCGCTTGCTTGTGAAAACATTGATGCTTCTGTAGTGGAACGTAGACTACTTTTGGGGACAGTATGTTCAACCTGATGAAAAAAGACAAGGAGAAGGATGGCGTCAGGAAGGAGAAAAAAGACAAGAGAGACCGGAGGGAACGGATGTCAGCAGCTGAGCTCCGAAGCCTGGATGAGATGAGCATGAGACGGGGTTTCTTCAACCTCAACCGGAGCTCCAAACGGGACTCCAAGAACAAGTTGGAGATCTCGAACCCGATACCTATTAAAGTCGCCAGCAGCACTGAGCTCAACCTGACCGACATAGAGTCGGATGGCCTCAGTAACCGCAGCAGCATGGTCCTGGATGCAGATCAGCTCAGCGCAGCCAGTTCCAGTGACGATCTGAAGGGTGATTACGGCCAAGATGGCCACCGGAGCTCTGTCAAGGAGCGGGCGGCCAGGTTCGGCTCCCTCGCCATTCAGAACTCGCAAATGGGTTCCATCATAAAGCGATTCTCCTTTTCTCAGAGGAATAAAGAAGAAAGTCCATCCGAAGGTTCCACACCTTCTGGGCAGAACTCGACTGCCCCGTCTCCACAGGTAGAAACCAAGATCTTTGACCCCCAACGTAAGCCAAGTGTCCAGCATCATCAGCAACAGCCTTCTACTGGGAAAAAGGTGCAGATTCCTGAGATTGTGGATAAGACGTTTCCAGCAGACCTCCGCTTGCCTGCTGTTGTGCCACCGCAGACGCCTGAAGTTCGGGAGCTGGTTCTTCAGAGGCGGAACACTGGGGATTTTGGGTTCTCCTTGCGGCGCACCACCATGTTGGACCGTGGCACGGATGGAGGGGTATATCGCAGAGTGGTCCACTTTGCGGAACCAGGTGCTGGTACCAAGGACCTGGCTCTTGGTTTGGTTCCCGGAGACCGGCTGGTGGAGATCAATGGGCGAAATGTGGAGAACAAGAACAGGGATGAGATCGTGGAGATGATTCGGCAATCAGGTGACACGGTTCGGCTGAAAGTTCAGCCCATCCTGGAGCTAAGCGAGCTGAATCGATGCTGGCTGAGGAACACCGAAGGGCTGCGGCGGGAAGCATTTGACGTAAGTCCACACTTTCTCTCTCTTCTCTCGTTCATGATCACAGTCTTTGCAGGCAACTCCCCACAAGCTGCCCAGCTCTTACACATGTGGAGCCAACTGGCTCTTCTCGAGAGTACAAGCACATCATTTAAGATGAACATGTTCTTGTGCAACAGGAAGCGGATTCCTTTCCAGGATGAACATCTGTCACGATGTGTCTAACAGAATCTTTTCTTCCTTCAGGTTTCCACAAGCAATGACTTTAATGACAGGCTATGAAACCGTTTTGTTTGTGTTTTTCTTTGCAGTTGTTGTGTAATAGTTGGACACAGTGCGACATTAAATTCAGAATTTTCCCCATGGAAATTTCACATGCAGCAGCACACAGTTCACAGTTTAGTTTTGGTATGTAACTATAAATTGCACTTGCTGTTGATGCTGGTCAGGCGCATTTTCTTGTGTGAGAAGAGTGTGATGAATGGGTAGCACAGCTCTTTCGTTTTTCCTTGACAGAGGGAAACCATTGAATCTTATCTGTCGTGTTATGCACTGCTTCCTTGTTGGATAACAGATAAGAAAGGCACTTTGGCGTAAATGTTTTGTTTTCTCTAGGATGGGTGGAGGTTGTGTCTTTATTAACTAGCATGTGTGCCACTACTTGGCTGGATCCAATCTGGCCTGCTGTCGTGCCAAGTCGCACATGTTGATGCTGAGATGACTCGCAAAGCTTCCTCCTACAGTAACCGCTGAGGGCATTATGTAAGACTCTTTGATAACTATACTCATTGGATTCCTAACATTTAGCAGTGTTGTTTGCTTGCTTGGAATACAGTACATTCAATAGACATACTGTTTTGCTGAGTAACATGCATTTAGGAGACCTCGATAATTTGGTAAAAGGTATTCTCTAGCTGTCTGTGAAACATGAGAGCGCACAACAGAGAGTTGTGACACACAAGTGAGCTTTGAAACTGTGAATCAGAGTGCATCTGAATCATTCAATGTGTTTGTGTGGTGAAGAAAGGTGTTGGCTGTTTAATAATTATCCCCTTCAGTTTGCTGTTTGCTGACAATTATGAATTTAAATGGTCCCTTTGCAGCTACTGTATTTTTCTTCGGGGGGTTCACAGTCCTCTAAGGGTTCACGAGAACGTTGCTGTTGTTTTACAAGATTGTGATAGAAATGCAATGGCCAATTAAATTGACAAATAAATGTAAATATTAAATAACATTTAAATTATTGAATAATGATTTATTAAAATATTAAATAAATTAGATAAATTTAAATAAACTAATTAGTGGTTGACCGATATTGTTTTTTGACAGCCAATGCCGATATTTCAGAGAGCAGGGTGACCAGTAGCCAATATAAAGCTGATATATTGCTCCGGGCCATCCAAATAAAAGTCCCACCTCAAACACATCACCCAAACAGAAAAGCTTATCAGCCAATGCCGATATTTGAAAAATGCCAAATATCGGCCGATATATATCGGCCTTTGCAATAATCGGTCGACCACTAAAACTAATTATTAAATAATTAAATTACTAAATTATTTAATTAAATTGCTTAAATGCAAAATTCATATTTATTAAAAGGTTTGTGTTACAATTTTAGAGGGTACGTAATGTAAATAATCTAGGTGATATTAGCCATTTTCTGACATGAAACTCATTAAACTCATTGAACAGATCTGCTATTTACACATGTAACAGCTTTCCTTTTATCCGTATTGCTACAATTCTGTTGTCAACAAAATGCTGTTAACACTGTGTGAAGTAATTTTTGTTTTTGCGCTTGTCCAATTTGGCGACATTTCTTTCTACACTGCAGATAATCACAGTATTTAATGTACAACTAAACTGTGTTGAGTAAGTGCTTCAGCTCCTTCAGAAACTCTTTGACAGCAGACTTATTTAAGAGTGCTTTAACACATACATGCTCAAACAGCTATTCTAACAGCTTACGAATTACAATTAAATTAAGTCACCTAAATCGAAAACATCTGTTGTATTTACAGAAAAATTTGGTTGAGAAAAATGATGAATCCCTGGCTTTGACAGTTACTTTTGTAAAATGTTGGCCACATGATCATTTGGGTTGAGGAATAAAGAGTGTTAAAAAGAGTCCTAAGTGTTTTTGTACTTGTTGAAACAGACCCTGGACTTTTTGTAGTCAGTCATGGCCTAGAGCAGGTGAAGAGCAGCTGTACTTCTGCAGGCTGAACTGACCTACAGGTGCCTGACAGCACAAAGGCAGAGCGCATAGACAAATTTATCATCATCTTCATCATTACTGCATATACATAATAAAAAATGGGCTATATATCCTAAAGTAAGGATGGACCTGCTTCTCAGGTTCAGCATTTGTGTTTGTGATAAATCTTAACTTAAGCACTAACGTCTGGCTAATGGTACTATTGTGCTGTAATAGGCTTAGAAAAATAAAGTGATCATCAGCCCTGCCTGTTTATGGAACCACATGTTTGTGAAGGGCTTCCTAATGGTTTTTCCTGTGGAATAGTCTTAACTCTCATTGATAGGCCAGATTTGTGGCAGCATCATGTGGCAGCACTTCCAGGAAACTCAAGATTTGTTTAGCTTAGTTTTGAGTGATTCTTGCCCATTCGGTAACAGACTGTCTCGTAACAATTAGAACCAACTGATTCATCATGTGCTTCTGCAAATTGGTTGCTGGCGAGCACCTCCATCTCATACCAGAGTGGGTCTGCTGTGCTATTTTGGGTTTTACAAACAAACAAGAGGGACTTGCTTTGCTGCATAGTTAGTCAGCCTCCCCGTCGTAGTCATTATGGTTCATTACATGGCCTCAGGTCAGTGGGAGTATTCTGTGCTGGTTACCCTGACTCTCGCCCCACTGTCTATCGCTCTCTATCGTCTTTTGGCAAACTGTGCTACAAGCATTGTCTGGAACATCTAATATGTCCTCTGAGAGCATTCATTTTGAGCTGCTTTTGTTGTGAAGCTGTTTTAAAATAAGGATTGGCAGGATGTACTCTAGTATGTGGAAGTGGCAGCAGTTATTGTTTATTAAAACGCATTATTTGTGTTATTGATAGACAGATATATTGGCCAGTCAGAATTTTCAGGTGATATTTGGCTATTTTAACCATGTTCACTTGGAAGAAAGTGTTCTTCTCTTGACTTTCTCACTTCCAAATTCTACTAAAACTTGTAATTTTCATCAAAGATTTAAGACCTTTGTTCTTCTTTGAAACGCAAATGAAGATATTTTTAATGACACTTAAAAATATCTCTGTCCCTCCATTGAAAGTCCATTACACCAAAACTTTGAAGTTCATAGAGAGATTGTAAAAGGAAATCCAAATGAATCACGCAATTTAATCTTTTGAAGAGACACAATCTCTTTATATGGACCTTTGGAATGGACTTTTAATAGAGGGATCGCAATCTCTTAGGTTTCATTAAAAATTCTCCATTAACTGTTAAATATCTTTAAAATAGCAAGGCTCCTTTTCATTTCAGAAAGTTTGAGATTAAGTTGTCATTTTTCGAAATGCCTATCAGCCCAGTTTGTCAGACGGCCGTTGTAGGGCTCTATGAAATATGTTTTATTTTTTTTTATCCCAAATTTAGTTTTTTTTTCTTTTCCAAATTCCATCTTTTCCATTTAATTTTTTTCTGGATTCTGTTTTTTGTTTTCAATTTTAATGGTTAAATTGAATTTTATTAATCAAAAAGAATGTCTAGTTTAGTGTTGTCACGATACCAACATTTCAGTATTCGGTACCAATAGCAGTGAAAATCTACGTTTCTCGGTACCAATTTCGGTACCAAAGCAAAACACAAAAACATGCTAATTAAAAAATTTGACTATACTGAACAACAAAAACTGGAAATGTTGCTGGATTGTGGCAGCATATATATGCAAACTCATTCTCTGCCAGCAGGAGGAGCTTGTAGAGCGGGAGAGATAGAGGCATATTAAAAATTAAAATGAAACTTGCCTGCTTGAACTCTTTCATTTGATCTGGGTGTCTGTCTTTAAAGTGTTTTGTTAGTTTGGTGTGATTCCTCATTTTGATGTCGCCACGTCTCAGTGCTTTTATGAAGAGAGCGCATCTGTGCACCTTTCGGATAGCGCATCAAGAACCGGGTTGACCGGGAACTCGGTACCACCGGTACTTAAAAAAACCTAGTACCATAACGTTTTCATTTTTTTAGTACGGACTTGGTACCGAAGTACCGGGTCTTTTGACAACACTTATCTAGTTAATTGAAATCGTGAAACTTGCACAATTTAATAGCAATTTATGAAAAGTGTAACAAAAATAAAATTTTTAAGGCCCTATGATATGTTTTATTTTTTTTCTCAAATTCAGATTTATTTTTACCAAATTCTGTATTTTCCATAAATGTTCTCGAGTTTAATGGTTTCATGATTTTAAATGTAATAATCAAAAGCATATCTAATTAACAAATGTTTATAAAAACATAATTTATTATTATTTTATTTATTTTATTTTCAGAAATAATGTGTTGTGTATTTACATTTTTCTGCTAAATAATTTCTGGTAAATAGCCAAATTTTTCTGGTAAATATTCTGTTTTTATACTATATTATTAGTAGTAGTACTATCATTACATTAAGTAATATATTTCAGTCACAGTTTCTTCAAGTTAAACCAATAGTACTATCATTACATTCATTTATATATTTTTGTCACAGTTTCTTCAAGTTAAACCAAACTTTTATTTTGACGGGTTGCTGTGAAGACCTTTACGTTTTTAATTTAACTTTTTTGTTGTTGTTGTTTTTAAGTATTCATCCAAAATTTGGCAAATTCCATGACATTCTGCGTTATACAGTAAATTCCTTTTTTGTGACTGGATTCTTCAATTCTGTTTGCATTTTCCACATTGTGGAAATCATAGGGCCCTACCATTGGCATCAAAGTTTAGGCAGCTTTTAGGGAGTGTACTTGTGATGTGAAGCACAAAAAATAAAAAAAGCAATAGAGTATGGTTGTCTTGAGTTG